ATGAGGAAATGTTATTTTCCCTTCACTCCCTGAGACTCCTACACATAATTAAACTTTGAATATGTCCTCATAAGAGTTCCCTCTATGATAGACTGTGAATAGCAGGGAGTTAATCAATCTTCCCCTGGCGTCAGCCAGTGTTTTCCGTTAGTTCACAGCCTGTAAATCGCTCTGTTTTGAAGCTGATGGCCAAGCAGTGACATCAATCCCTGAAATACTGAGCTCTCATTGGTCGACGTTGGTTTGTGGTTGGTGTCTGTGGTGAAGAAAAGGCAGGCGTTTGACATATAAATCCTTAATGCAGATACAATGTAGTTTATATGGTGAGACACTGTGATAGACCACATGCACTATAGGCCACCTACTGTAAGATATGTTTGACAAGCCGCCAAAGTGTCTGTAAACTCTATTCATTTCTCATTTTATTTAAGTTCATATTATATTTTTTGTACATGTTATATCCTTACATCATGCCCAATAGACTGCTTTAAAGAAAAACTTCAACATTTCTACCCCAAAATACACATTGTTACTGAATATTTAGACAATCTTGCCGTTGCCATCATCTGTCGTTTTTATAAAAAAATGTACATCTGAGAGGGATGAGAGAGAAGTCTGGGTCAGCCTGCTTGACCTGTTGCCACCGCGACCCGACCCCGGATAAGCGGAGGAAAATGGATGGATGGATGGATGGATCTCAAACAAATGAGATTTAAAGTGTTAATTTGTGAGTTTTAGAGGTTTTGTCACCTTTGGACAGAGTCAGGCTGTTTCCCTCTTGTTGCCAGTCTTTATGCTAAGCTATGCTAATTGGCTACTGGTGGAAACACAGTAGTGTTAGTAGTTTTGACCTTCTCACCTAAATAACTCTTGGCAAGAAAGCAAACAAAGTGCATTTCCCTTAACTATTCCAGAAAAGCCCTCTCCACACTGCCAAGGACTAAAATATACAAAATAAAACCTGTCATTTGTGTGTATTTTTAGAATACAAACTTCTCCTCAGGTAGATGATCCCCAAATTACCAGAAACAATATGACTTCATTGTCCTCAATGAGAGGGTATCTCCAAAACAAAATGAAGATATGTGCACATGGATTCTGATCCTTTAAAACTAAAACAGGATTTGAAGACAAAGACAAAGTATTCCTGATAAACACAGGGAGTCATACAGCTAAAGTCTGAGAGTAAATATGCTGTCACCAACTACATTATTCTCAGTCTTTTGGTTGAGATGGTTCAACTGTAGTTGGAGGTGCTCCTTTGTCCAGCAGGGGACAGTGGTGCATCATTGTTCAGCAGCTAAAACGTTGTCTGTAGGAACATCTGCATAGGAAAGTATCACGTATCATCACTTTGTGCTCCACATTATGAAGGACTGATCACATTATGGAGGACCGATCACTCCAACCATCTGTATCAACAGTCTGTGAGACCTGAGGTGACTTTGTGACGTGTGGCTGTGCTTGAAAGAAGCTTGAACTGTCTGCACACACACACAGATTCGTGTGGTATGAATAACTTGATATGCAGCCACTGAGGAGAGGGTTTTACGCTACTCTGATAACAACAGCTATGACTTTGTATTACGTGCTGAGGACTATTTTTGAACGCGTTCAAAGACTATAGACGACAGTTAGGCTGTTATGGCAAAACCAGGAAACCATATTTCATTTGTAAGGTGCTCTCTGAGAAGATTTCCAAAATGAAAAGACGTGCAGTTCAGTCTTTTGAGAGTATTTATTGAATCGGGTGTTCAGGATGCTTCGATGGCCTGTTTTACTGCAAATAGTCTCTCTCAGTCGAAGAAGGTGAAAGTTCAAGTAGCACGGAGGGCTCCTACAAAGAGCCCTCTGACCTGATGGCTATCATCCAGCTTTAATCTCCATGTGGCCTATTCATCACACAGTGTATTTATTCAAGACTGTCAGGATTATCTGGATTACTTACAACAAACCTCTTAATTACAGTTGAGTCAGAGTTGGGTGGAGGCCAGCACTAATGAGCTGCCTGTCTCCTCTTTATCTCTTCACGTCGCTGGCAAACTCTTGTTTTCCATCTTAATTCAATGGCACCGTTTCCTCTCTATTCTGTCTTCTCTCACCTTTTGTAAAGCTCAAGATGTTATCCTCTATGTGTGAAACTTTGGTCCTTTTTGAACTTGCCGAAAATAAACTCTGTGGCAAACAAACGTTTACGATACTTCAGCAAGATAATCTTCAGAAATGAACACCACTTTTAGGATTTCTGAAGCGTGAAGTAAAGAAGTAAGGAGCTAATGTTAGGCTATAAAGGAACTACACCACGGTCACATGACTTCACTTCACCACCACGGAGCTAAAGGCGAACTAGCGTTGACGTGATGACGTTTAGTAGTTTCATAAAAGCAATTGTTAACAACCACAGGCCTTATTTCAGGCAAACCAAAAACCCAAACCCATTCAAAAAAACCATTGACTTCGAGATGAAGGGAAACTAGAAGTGCAATAATGCTAACTCATTTGCAAGTTTTAGGACTCATTCCTGCAGTACTCTATAGAAACGTCCACTAAAACCGTTTCATATAGGCTCATCTATGCAGAGAAATTCTCTTATTGTTTATGGTAAATGGTAAATTGACTGTACCTGCTTTAACACATGTCATCCTTCACCCATTCATACACTGATGACAGGGGCTACCATGCAAGGCGCCACCTGCCCATTAGGACTATCTAACATTCATACAACATTCACACACCGTATGCACAGCTACGGGAGCAATTTTTAAGTGTCTTGCCCAAGGACACATCGACATGGACTAGCGGGGGATCGAACCAACGATCATCTGATTGAAGGACGACTCTGCGGAGCCACAGTCGCCCCCACAAAGGGAGGTCACAGGTCAGGGTTGACTTGCTGTTTGTAGCTGGTGACCATCTTCGTTTAGCAGGGTACATGCTCACTGTTGTGATGGCTTGAACCCGTCTGGTTTCCCACTCGTTAAGACACCAAGATCAAAGCACACATCTTAGACATGATGGAGAAATTAAGAGTCAGGGTAAGAGACGGAGACAGTGATCATAAACAGAAAAAAATAGAGCCTGAGTGAGGCAGGGAAGAGTGCACGAGAGTCTGACATTTTCCCACACTGCTCTCGGCCAGGACCACCAGGGTCAAAAGGAAGAGGTTGAATCCCCGGAGTATAAAGCTCTCCTCAGTTTACCCCTCCCTGCTCTTCCCCTGACATTAAACTTCCTCTCCACTGTTAACGCCACTCTCACTCACAACTAACACATAAACACTGCTTAGGCTGGGCTCAAGGGTCAGGAGACAATAAACAACTCCTGGATTTGTTTTCTGGTCTCTAACAAGACCGTTTCATTTGTGATCGTCCAGCTGGAACCTGAGCACACCTCTCAGTTATAAAGACGCCACGATTTCATGTCTCCTGCCGAGTCACACATGACGTCAGTGCCGTTAAATTAGAGGGTCAATCAAGATGCCAATGTGATGTCCAGACACAAATTAATTAAGAACATCACACATAAATCATTTTATTACTGTAAAAAATACCCTAAATATAAGTATATTGCAGATTAATGTCATTTCATGCATTCCTTTATCGTAGCAGATGTCCGGTATGAAGCTGGAGATATTTTTAGAGACAACATTGGGAACGTGAATAAAGTTGTAAACCACAAGGCTCTGATGAATTGTCATATGGTGGTCCCATGTGACCATTAGGGGCCCACTCCTCAAACCCTGCAACCCTACTGCAGCCCCCCAAAAACACTCCCTTTATCTAAACATGAAAGTTCTCAACGGTTTCATTCTCTGTTCGTTTCAAAAACAGCGTTGACAAGTGAAAGTAATCTATAATCTTGTGTGTCCAGCCCTCGTGGAAATACTTCCCACTGTACTTCAGTTGTAAACAATCTGCATCCCCCCCCTCTTCATATGAGTCCCGGGAGCATAACGCAGTCTGTGTGGGCCTCATGAGGAAAACCAAATTTGGTAAAAGATACAGACACCAAAGCTTAAAATATGTGAGTTTTAGTAAACAATGTAAGTAGGAATGTAAGATGGAAGCGTGGTTCTCTACTCTGCTTTACGTCCATACTGATTGCTACACAGGCCTTTTTTTTTTTTGTACAGCTTGTCATAGTAGAAAAAGCACAGGTGTTACTAATGACATTAACGATCGCTCCGTTCTTTTCAAGTCCCAGTGAGTCACAAAAAGCATCAAAGTGAGCCAGCATGAACAACACCAGGACACTGAAACTGTAGCAGCTAAATGGAATTCAGCCATCGTTAATTTGATCATTTACACCTGTTCCCTCAAGTGACATTGGAAATTTCCTCTGGGGAAAAAAATGCCTTTGTAATGCCTGCTCTGTTTATTCTGAGCTGCACCTGAAGGCAGCACAATCAGCAGTTTGGGACCCACCTGGGTCCAATGAGGCATAAAGGCCTCACTGTGTTCACCCTGCAGCACACTGCCGCTCATTAGACTCACAGAGTGGGCTCGGTGTAGCTGGTGGTGTCGTGGTTATTGGGACAATAAATATTCCCAAGATCAGCCAAGGACCACTTTGCAATCCTACTTGTGTGTTTGTTTGTTTTTGCTCCTTATCACATCACAATTTGAATTTTTCTTAAGTCAGCTGAGCTACTCCACTGTCTGTCTATGTGACCAGTGACCCTGGGCCTTACATTCCCCTGGTTGGGAATCATTGCAATTTTGTGTTTCATATTTTCTAATTTCTTACTCTTCTATGATAGTAGGCTGAATATCTTTAGATTTGAGTTACCAGCATTTTTTGCTATTTGCAGACATTCTTGAGACTAAAAACGATGACACAATCAAGGACATAAGCTGTAGATGAATAGTTAATGAAAATAACTTAGTAGCAGCCTTAATAAATCTGCTTTTGTACTGGATGTGTTTCCTCATGGTCGAAGAGTTCAAGCTGTGACAACATCTACACGGATTATTACACGATGGACTGATAAAGATCACAAAGAGTTTCAGACGTTGTTTTATTATAAACAGAAAAGTTGCCGTTATGTGGCAGTCATAGTATTTAAAAAAAAAACAATCCACATCATGTCATACAAACTGCAGGTAACAAGAGATGGTCAGGTGAGCAGTTTTCAGTCCACTGCAAATCTTATATTAGGAATGCCATTGGCATTTTAGGAATAGTCCATAATGCCGACAGCCTCTTGTATTGTCAGTAATTGGTCAAATCATACAAATTATTTTAAGAATAAAAAAAGAAAAGGGTTTGATGGATCTGACTTCACATGATAAGGGTGGAGGGTCACAACTCTGCCCTGTAAACATTAAACACCAATCAATATCAACACTTCAACAAATGGGGAAAAAAAAAAAAAAGCAAATGAAATTGTAAAGCGTTATTAGGTTATGGTCCTCTTACACAACAGAAATCTATGTCTTATTAAAATGACAAAAAGGAAAGGGAGAACCTGCTATGGATTATGTGTTGGTGGAAGACTGGAACAAGCTCCATCAATAGAACAAATGACTGGAATAAAGCTGTATTCTATCAGGCCTGACTGGAAGAATACACTTTCCTTAAATACAGAAAACCGTCTTTACGTGGCTCTGTGAGTAGTGGTTGTCATGTACAGAAGTGTTTCTAAATGTTATACACGCACTGCATTCATTCATACATACAGCGTGTGAGGAATCAGTCGTATACTCATGCAATAAAGCACAGTTTTATCTTCTTCACAGCTTGGCCCGCTGAAAGCACAACATTTCTTAAGACATGAGCGGTGGTTGACGTTTCAGCATCGTGCGCGGGGGGGGGGGCACACTGACGGGTTACAATGGCAACAAGACCTGAGACTCAACATGGCAATACTGGAGTATCTCAACAGGTGCACTCTTTGTGCCAAAACAGACTGTAGCCGTGTCCCAAATCCACACCGCAAGCTTACCCTAAGCAGAATGTTAGTGTGTTCACAGGTGACAGAAACACTATTCTCTCCCACAATGCAATGCACAAAGGACGTGCAGGAGCTGTTCACAGCTGTGTGGAGGATGATGAAACCGTTCTTATACATTAGTTTGATTAACATCCGACAGTGTGAGTATTATGTTACTTCCTATTCCTTTAGTTGAAAAAGTTAAGTATGATGATTACTTATATGCCAGACAGCAAAAAAACGTTTACTATAAGTATATAGTACATAGTGTACTATATACTTATGTTCCATGTAGTCCGCCCCCCACAGATCCTCTTCTGTTGGTCTCTCATAAATACACATCCATAGTGTTGAGGATCATGTGCCGACAGAGCGGGCAGTTCTGTTGATATATGGGCTGCCTCAACAAGATGTTCGTACAGTCGCTACACAAGCAGAGGTGCCTGCATGGCAGCAGCACCACCGTCTTGGTGCAGTCCTGACAGATCACACACTTCTTCCTGTCCTCCTGCTCCTTCAGCAGAGTCAGCAGATTCTCAGCAGGTAGAGGTTTTCCGCCTTTGCCTGAAGACGACTGCTTCTTTAGCGGTCTGTCTATGCTCGATGACGGGAAAACTAAGTCCAGCAGCTCCTGGTGTGCTCCATCTCCCGCTCTTCCATCCGGCGGGTCCCGCCTCTCCTCTCTGGGGTCGCCATCGCCGCGTACTCTGCTGTTGTTGTCCCTGCTGAGCTGTGTCCTCAGAGCCAAACCTAGCTGGCTGCTGAGTCGAGACAGCTTCTGCCAGAGTCCTCTCTCTAGCAGGCAGAGGTGAAGGAATATTCGTCGCAGGCGCTGCATGGAACCACGGAAAAAATGTGGGGTGCTCTGCAAGGCTGAGGCGAGGCGGTTGTAAGCCAGATTAAGTCTGTGCAAGGCAGGAAAAAAGTTGATGTAATCTCCAACTCGCACAGCAGCCTGTCGGGTCAGCTCTGGGTTCAGGTAGGCGGTGGTGGTTAGAGCGATAGTAACAGTGAGCAGGAGACCGTAGATGTTCAGTATGAAGATGCTGACAAACATCTGAACCAGCGAGACCAAAACGTCCAACATCAGTTTACAGGGCGACCACAGGAAAGCCGAAGTCCCAACCAGGCTGCTGTACAGAAAGGTGAAGGAGGTCAGCGCCAGCTCCAGCACAGTCTGCAGCGGGCTGGAGACCGTCTGCCACACGCTGGCCACCACCGTGTAAACGTTCTGGGTGGCGATGAGTGCATAGTTGACCACGGTGTTGGTGAAGTAGACCACCAGACTGACAGCAATGCCACAGCCCTCCAGCACAGACAGCATACCTCGACACAGGTGCTCCTTCCCACGAAGCAGGACGTGCATGGACAGGTAACCCACCATCTTCAGGCTCTCCAGCAGCCCCTCCAGAGCCAGCACCACGCTCCCCAGCATGGTGACGGTACCGTGGGCTACGTTGGATGTCGCCTCTGCCAGTGACATCAAGCAAAACAGGGCTAAGTTGCCCAACTCCACCACGGAGTTGAGGAGAAGGGTGGGCAGGCTGGTTATGAAGGTGATCACCACGAGGATCGTCCGCACCACGCTGTGGACGATGACGAAATTCAGGTCCAGCAGTAAGCAGACGGCGTCCAGGCATTTTCCTACAGTGGCGACTACAAAGTTCACCAAACCCATGGTAGTGTGTCTTTAACTCGATGTTTACCTCTCAGTGCTCTCGGGTTGTCTCCAAGCCAAAGTCCATGTCTTGTTTACTTTGCTCAGGGCGAGATCCTCAGACGCTAGCTGACGCTACATCACGTTGTCCTTCGTGTCAGGCGGGGCAGCACACCGTGAATCGTTCCGTTGAGTGGACGATGCAGTTAATCTTCATATTTTCCTCGTATTTGTTCGGCTAAAGCGACGAGCTAACATAGTAAACACACGCGTAATCGTGGCGGATGTTTAGTTTCAAACGAGAGGCGGACACTTCCGTTTGTTTTCCGGGTTTCGCTTTGGCTCTCCGTTCAAAGCATGGTCCAAAAAACAATTGACTCGTTAAATTGTCAGTTTACAACACGTGTTGTATGTGAAGGTAACAGGCAAAATCAAGAGAGACGGAGAGAGCACACAAAAAGCTTCGACGTGTTTACCGTCGTGACTGTGGCCGCCATATTTGTTTTGGTCGCAGATGCTGACCTCTCCAGTTACTTCCGGTGAACTGGAGAGGTGTTACTTCCGGTGATCATATCCACTAATCTAAATATACAAATTCAAATCCTCATTTTTATATTACTCATTAATAGGCATTCAATAAGAGAGATAATGATAAACACGATTAAAATGGACTTTTTAAGAAAATAAAAAAGGGAAAAAGAGAGTGATACACCAGAAAAACAAATCTTTATGATCATGAAATGGACTTTTCTCTCTCTCTCTCTTTCTCTCTCTCTCTCTCTCTCTCTCTCTCTCTCTCTCTCTCTCTCTCTCT